ATGTAATTGGGGGAAGTTCAAAGCTTCAATCATCATATTCACACGCTTTTCAGAAAGTTCTGTTCCGACTAGAGGGATCGGACTCGTTTGACCTCACGTGGAATTTCCAGATAACTACACGAGAGTTCTAGTAGGTCATTCCGATGACTCCAATAACGATATCCGATACTCCGCCGACGCCTTTGCGCATGCACCGTGTCGTTATCGGGTATCGTTATAGGGGGAATCGGAACGATAAACTGAAACTATCGACAGTTTCGAAGTACGTATAGTACGCACTTTTTAAAATTTCTGCGCGTACTTCCGTGGGCCCGTTTCATACGATACTTAGAAAGCGCATTCAAACATTCACGTAGAAATCTGTTCAAAGCATGTTCCAAGTTTCCCACCGTAACACCTTAAAGAGACCATGAAAGCAATTTTTTTTTGTTTTTTTTTTTGAAGAAGGTGTTTTTGGAAGAATTGGGGTCCTGGCATGCCACACAACTTTTTCTAGAACGTTGTGACTCTTATTTCTGTACCTGCAAATAAATTTGCGAAACCGAAACAAACATTCAGATTTCTTCCCTTTTTCGCCTCTGGAAAGAGAAGTGACGTCAGGGAGCGCTGTCGGCATCGGTAGGCTTTAGTGCACAATCAGTGTGCTCAGTGTGGTTTCCGTGGTTCGCTCTAGTGCACGGCGGCCTGTGAAGAAAACCTGGAAGAAATGGACGACAACACCGGCGCTCGCAAACGAGTTTGAGCTCCCGTTCAGCGACCTCACGCCGACTGAACGTGCTTCGTTGCCGCTGTGGTGTGGGCTCCTTGCTCAAGGAAAGTGAGGGAATGGCGTCTTTCCTCAGACGCGGGAACTTCATGTTTTTACCCAGACTCCGGCTGACGTGAAGGTGCTGCTCAAAGTTTTCTGGTCGGAAATGCAACGAACAAATCCTGACACCGCTGTCCACAGGTCTACGCAAGACGACGGCGCGCAACCAAATGCTGCGCATTGCTGCATCGGTCGACAGTTTATGCAAACTAACGTCGCCCGATCGACCGCACGTCTTTAGCCGACCTTTCGCGTAACCTACTACTGCACATAAACGCGTCATGATTGGTGAGACACCAGTTCGCAAAGCGAACACGAGACGACGCACGAAACTATAAACAAAAGTCCGCCGCCCCCGGCGCTCGTACCTCTTTCTTTTTTTTTTTTTGTCCATGGTTGCTCGATGCTTGTTACGCGCCCCCCGAGGTAGCAGTGCGGGATGCGTTCAACCAATGACAAACGGAGGGATCGCTTCAGATTATGCTTTTATACACGGTATGAAAACTATTAATTCCTAACTACAACTTCAAAAGATTATCCAACGTTCAAATAAACTTTTTTGATATCATCTCACCACCGAAATCGAAACCAAGAGCGCGTCTATCGTTTGAACCAATCGCCAGACGAGGAGTCCGTTGTCGTCACGCTTCGACGGCGCACTTTAGTTCACCTTTCTGCCGCCGCCTCGGTGGGGTCTCAGGCATCGTTCCCGGCGCAATTATACCGCACCTGTTTGCTCGATTGGTGCGGCACCCAAACTTATGTTCGGGCTAGAACTTGGTCAACAGTATCTGAGACGTGCCTGACATCCATTTCAATCGTCAAATAAAACTTCGAAACTGCCTTCATGGTCCCTTTAAAGGCGCAGCGAGGGTTATTTCGATCCAATGACTTTAACTTACCTCAGAACTTAAACTCTAGAGAATTTCAGACCTCCAGAAAAACACGCTAACGTGACTTGAAAACCGTTAAAGTGCCGCTACCCGCAAAACGGCAATTTCTCTCGCTAGATAACGCGGCAGATCGCTCTGGAAAACGCGCTAAATTGGCAACACAGCCTGGCACTTCCCGAGAGCTGTAACCCAAAACGTCCCATTCAGGTTTCGCCCATTTTCGTTTCGCCCCATTCTCGTTTGGACCTTCTCGTGTGACCCTTCTCAAAACATCCAAGCCGGTTTTTTCACATTTGGACCTATTCGCATTTGGTCCCGTTCGCACCAGGACCAAATCGTGCGTGGCACGTTTTCAGCCCTGGATTGGCTCCGACGGCTCGTAGCGTACGCTGCAGTCCACTTTAAGGAAAGACAGAGTATAGTGTGTGCATGTGTGTGTGTGTTTGGGGGGGGGGGGGCAGGGGAGAGAAGAGGGAACCGCTCCGGGTGCACCCTCCCGCGGCCCGGGAAAAGGGAGAAATACAAAGCCGTGCTTTGACACAAAGAGTAATCGATGTTTTATTGCTCAGCGCCTGCTACCACTTCCGGACAACCGAACGAGCAGGTCCTGACCTTCGCTGTATATTTCAAGAGCAAAAGGGACGTATTCCAGAAACAATTAGCCGAACCGCGGGAGTAATCAGAACGTGTGCGTGTGGTGTGTTATCCCTTGCGTATAGGAGGGTTGGGAAGGGGGGAGGGGAGCGTCTGACTTGAAGAAGCTTCTTCGCAAATATGTGGTGACCCAGCTTTAACATCGACACCTCGAAGTGCCCCCACTTGGTTGTTTTTTTCCTTGGAGGATGAAACGCGAAGGACGTAACGAGAACAAACCAAATGCAGCAAACTCCCCCCCCCCCCCCCCCCCCCCCCCCCCCCCCAAAAAGAAATATTCTTTTTTGTTTTGGACGATGGTCTTTTTGGGAAATTTCAAACGAAAAGGTCAAAACGAGAACAAACCCAAATGATAACCACACCTTTCCTGGGACGTCGAGTGGGCTGTCAGGGTCAGGTGGTGCAACACGTCACCCCTATCAACCGGTTCAGCCATATCCGTCCATTCATCCGGCGTGCTGCGTATCCACAGGACGATGTGTGAGCACGCCCGACGGCTCCTGAGCCTATTAACACTGTTTTTATTCGTGTTAGCTCAATTTTTCGCGTGCCCGTCGCGGGACTAAACAGTAGGTTTTTTTTTTTCATCTATAGGGTTCTTTTTGTTTGTTTTTTTGACCCTTTGAACATTGCAATTTTGCTTTATATGCGGAGCGCAAGTTCATCTGCCTCTTTCGCAAAGGTTGTGGTGACGTCAGAACGCCAAGCTCTGATTGGCTCCGATTGAAGCATAGGGGATAATCCTCAAAGCAAGCTGCCTCGAGGTCTACTCACTCTCCTTCAATTGGAGCCAATGAGAGCTCGGCGTTCTGACGTCAACACAACCCCTGCGAAAGAAGCAGATGAACTTGCGCCCTGTATTCGTCTTTTATTTGATACTAGACTCTATGGGCACTATTCGTCGCTATTAAATTTGAATTCGATTGCAGTTGAAATTTCACTAGTTGAACACTTCTACTAAAGAGCCATGTTGAAAATATCGGCTTAGCAAGCTATCTAAGCATGATAATGATGAGCGAGACGTCAAGAAATCGGAAAGACACCCAGAGATACGCGCATCCCTTTGGTTTTTCGCCTGGTACTTGAAATGTTCCGCTTAGTAATTAAACAAAGAAAAAAAAAAAAAACACTTCATTCAAAATATAGAACTACAGTTTTCGCCTTTTTTGTTAACTGGGCTTGGCATAATTTTGTCTTTTTTTTTCATTTATGTGGGAACTGATAGGCTATCACAGTGGTTCTCAACCATTGAGGTCTCGCGGACCCCTTGCGGGTCGGCAGAGATGATGGAGGACCCCATTTGTGATGAGGGGAAAGGAAAGATAGTGATTAATTATTATAATGATTTAATAAATGGATACAACTAAGGGCTAATGTAAAAGAAACTTCTTTCATTGACATACACACGAGAAAACTCACCAGATAATTGGAACATTCCATCCTAATCTGAAAAAAAACAATTAACTTTTATTGTCGGGCTTGACTGATTAGGCAGGGCTTCGCGGACCCCTAGAATGCCTTCGCGGACCCCAAAGGGTCCGCGGACCCCCATTTGAGAACCACTGGGCTATCAGAACGCACTCGTAACCGTTTCCTTTGTTAAACTTCTAATTGGAGAAATTATGCACTGAAATCGTATGTCAGAAAGATAAGGGTTGTAATTTTGTTTGAAGAAATGCTTTACGTAACTCATAGTGAGAAAAGGGATCGATTCCCCCTCCATGACGTGCTTCTCAATCGCTGCCAAATCTCCGTCTTTCTATCTCTCTTCTCCTCCCGCCGGAACTAACTTCACAGCTCGTTTTATGTTCCGACGAGCGTTGCGAGCGTTACCGCAGTAATAGTGAGTTTTAGCATTGCGTATACGAGTAATGCAAGCGCTGTGCGTTTGCGTTGGCGTTGCGTTCTTCACGCTGCGCATGCGCGAAGTTGCAATGCGCCAATCCAAGGCCGTAGTTCGGGCTCCGCGCACGCGCCGTGTGGAACACGCAACGCTAGCGCAAACGCACAGGGCTTGCGTCTACTCGTATACGCAATATCGCAATACTACAACTCACTAATGACGGAAAACGATAAGTGACCATCGGTCGTCTTAGCTCTGCAGAGTAATATTGAAAGGCGGACTCTTGTATTGTAACACCTGAGACTGTGGTACAAAACCATTGAAAACTTCCAAGTTAAAATACAAAAAAAAACACAGACAAACAACAAGAACAGTAGTAGAAAAACTTATCAATGTCTCAGTTTCAGGTGTTAACTTACGATAAACTATCACCAGCTCGCCTTCACACTTACCGTTTTCAAGTAAATTCTGTCAGTTCTGTTTCGTTTTGGGGCCACATTGTGCAACATTTTTCGTTATATTGAAACCCGCGAGCTGTTTCGTTTAAGCCTGTTTCGGCACGCGAGGGTTTTAATGGAAACTTTTGGAACATTGTACGTAACTGCGTTGCTTTGCTAGGGGGGGGGGGACGTTGTGTCATTCATTGCCTTTAGAACAAATTTAGCATGCACCCGCTGTGCTAGCGATTCGCAGTGTGCAATCTAAAAAAAAAAAAAAAGATTTTTTATAAACAAATTAAAGATTCGTACAAAGCAAAAAAAAAACAACTAATAAGTAGAAATACTGAAGAGGCGGGGCATACCGTGAGGACGTAAGCCCTGGTAAACTCCTTGTTCTTGTCGTCCCAAACGTTGGCTTCCAAGATTTCCAGGCCGTAGGGTCTGTTCCCCGTGCATAGCACAGGCGCTCTGGCAACCACGACGCTTTCCCTCTGGATGCCCCGCATTAGACTCAACATGTCCCGGCGGGTGGTGAGCAGCCGGTACGAACTCGACGCTAGCACGGTCAGGACCATCTGGTCGCCCGCGTTGGCGATGATTCTCTTGACCTCGGCCACGGCGGAGCCACTCACGCACTCTCCACCCACGGACAAAATTATGTCCAGCGGGAGGACCTGAGACTTGTCAGCTGGGCTTCCTTTCGTCACCGACTATAGGAAATAATAAACATCGACCCAACACGTTGTTTCTCCTCTACCTCCGCATAGTTACGGAAGGCTTAAAGAGAATTGGTGCAGAAATCTTATACTATCAGCGTATACATCAATTATTTATGGATGTTAGTAGCGCCCTCGACACGCGTTTGCTTTCTCTTTCTAAGAAGTGACAGTCCCGGAAATAAATAGAAAAAATGATAACAGTATTATTTTCTCAACTCGCTAAAAGAACAAGTGGTCACGTGATTTGGTGTCCCTTATACGCCACCAGTGTTAATCAGAGCCATGCGCTGGGGTTGGCAACCAACAGGGTACGCGCTGACTCCCAGGTATGTTTAGGCTTCGGGTGTTTTCTGTCACTACAGCGATTGGATACGAGCCAGCACCGGGATTCCCGCCGAGGCATTTATTGTCGTGAGCTGAAATCAAGGCTCACAGCAGTGCTTGAGTTCCCTCTATGAACCGAGTCTGACTACCGTCACCATAGGGTTATACCAGTGACTACGTCAAAACTGCAAACCCCGCGACTACGTCATCAAGTTTGGCTAAGACTACACTGAACGAAAAAGTTCACTTTTACTCTTGAATAATATCAGCAATAAAGACGCTTCTTGGACAGTGGCGTTGCGTGCGAGTATGCAAAAGTCACACCAGTGCCAGTGAGCTTGCGTAAAGTGAGAGACATACCATCCCAGCATTGTTGCACGGCTATAAAGCGTAAGACGTGCCGCCTCCCCAAGCGTCTGATGGCAAATTAGGGTAGTTATTTTCCGGTCAAATATATTGCCATATTTTCGAAAAGTATGTTCCCGTCGTCAAAGGCTGGCGAGCGATCGCTTTTTGTGTGGCGGTTTCAAGGTGAGCGCCGACAGTGTGCAGGCAAAATTTTCGCCCGAGCTGTAAGAGCTCGTAAAAGCTGTGCTTGTCAGTCACGTGTAGCCGGTATCGTCACACGTGAATAAAAAAAGAGAACATAAAGAAAACAGAGCTCACACATGGTGAGCTCGGTCAGCAAATGAAGTAATCGAGAGAGACACGTTACGTTTCGACTAAAGAAACATAAAAAAAAAAAAAAAACGAAGCTGAAGAAAATGAAGTTATTAAACTACAAGTTCTTAAAGAAATCTAAATATTTTGGAAATAATTTGTCCAATTTGCGGGAAGTCAGTTCGCCCTGAACAGAATATGTTACTACCCCGCGGCAAAAAAAAAAAAAAAAAAAAAAATGTATGCTTGCTGATGGGGCTGGGCACCTGAGCACGCAATAAATTTTAAAAGGGTGGGCGGAGTGAGAAGACCGGGGAGTGCAGAACAAATATAGAAAAGTACAGACAAGAAGAATACAAAACAGCGACGCTGACGAGCTTCTTTCGGGAGCCTTGCAAAATAATGTAACTTCTCGGGAAACACACAAAACATACACTGAAGTTTGACGCGTAGCTGGGCGGTACCATGCAGAGTTTTTAATCAGTCCGCACATTAATATTATAATATAGGTTCCTGAAGGAAGTGTGCGGGTAGGGGTAATTTCACTACTTCAATATTGAGATTAGACCCCGTCACTCAACTGCTTGATATATAATGCATTTTACTTGAAAATAAAAGTAAACTCTACACACTATTCAAAATACATTTTCTTGGCTGCGGAAGCCGTGTTCTTTTGCAATAAAATATAGAAAAATTAGAATGCATACGATCTGCAACAAATATTTTTCGATTTTCGCGGTTCAAGCCGGTTTGAACCAGTTCGAACCCGTTTTAAACCATCAAAATGTACGAGTTTGACCCGTTATTTGCTTTTCCGGAGCTAAACCGGAACTGAAGTGAAAGTCGTGAACCCAAAGCCGAACCGAACCGATTAAAATTTCGGTTCTACAGTCTGTATTGGACACGAAAGGTAAATGCAGAAGGACCGGGTGCGTGTTATTGCTTCCCTTTCAATCCGATGCGCTACTATCACATTCATGTAAACGCAACCCGTAAGGAGACGTTTATAGTACACGTTACTGAGAACACCCGACCGAGTACCGTTACTCGTTACTCGCTCATTATATAACCAAGTACATTGTTTGTTACTGAGATTCAAAAGGAATGCCGTAGTTCTACTCGAATGTAGCGAGTTACTTTCGCGTCACCCTTGATGCGTCGTTTCTCTAAAGCAGTAGCCGTCCTCCAACATTTTGTGTCGTGAATGATGCCTACCTTTTCAACGCATTCATGGTATGTTTTTTTTTTGTTTTGTTTTTTTCTTTCATTTTCTTGTTGGCGTTAATTTTGCCCTGAAAGGCGTTTGCGCGAGCTGGGCGGAAAACCAAATGGGGTAACTTCCGCTGTACACGTTCTTTTCTAGAAGTAACTTAATACCCTTACTCGTTACATACCTAATCAAAAAGTAACGAAAGTACGTCACTCGCCCCTAAACTCGAAAGGTAACTAAATCGTTCCTTTAGTTAATGGGAAAAAAAGTAACTAGAGAGAAGTAACGCGGGATTTGTAACGTGTTCCGTACAAGTCTTCCCGTAGGTCGCAAGTCTGCAATTGTAGAGTAAAATAGAACCGGTTTACACGGAGTGATAATTTAGTTTATTTCCTGAAAATGTACGGGGAAGGCTTGCCTCTCGTTCTCGAAGAAACCAACATTAGCTTTACAGTGTTGGTTCTCAATACTTGAAGACAAATTCTAGTTATAAACCTTCTCAACATTAGTCAAAGGCAAAAAAAAAAAAAAAAAAAAAATGACGAGGGAGTTGGTTTGTAGGGCGTCCGATATTCCACAGAAGAGAGCTACTGAGCGTGCACAAACTGCGATTCACAGCCCAGTCACGAAGACGGCCGCGAGCTCAAGGTAGTAATTGTAACTATTTATAGTCATTGATAGTCAAGGAATAAAAACCTCGCCCAGGTTTTTATTTAAAAATGACCTATAACTACCGAGAGCACAATTTGCGGCTTGAAATTCGTTTTCTTTCTGCCCGAAAACAACCTGACGAGATTTGGCCTGTTTCAGTCGCGCTCCCTCTAATTTTCAAGGTCACGTGGCATTCAAACTATGTTTACCAAATATAATCAAAGTCGTGGGTCATCCAAATCACACATTCATGAAAAAAAAATGAGCCCTATTTTTTATTTTTTTATTTGTCCACCAAGAAACCTGCAAAAACGTCGATAGAGATTTTGTTTTTTTACACAGATCACAGGAAGCTTATGTATTACACGCCATTTTCAATATGGCGACGTTCTGCGGGCTGAACAACGTGATGGGAGCGCATGACGGATCAACGTTGCGACAGAAAAAAAGGGCCGCTTCTTCGGAACTGCCGTTCGTGGTACCGGCCAATCGATCTTCAAGCGCGGAACATCGATTGGAAGGGATATAAGTGCGAAGCTATCTCACGACAAACGGTGTGTCAAAATTCGTCGTTTTCTGCTTCACACGCCGGAAAACATAAAAAAACGAACTAAAAACAGGTCGGGTATGAATTCCGGTTATGAGCTTCCGTGCTCGTGTTTCGGTTTCAGTTTAGAGCAGTTGAGTTTTTCGGCTTTTTAAAAATATACGTGGCTCTGCAGCAAAGTATGAATTAGGTAGTCTCCGGACACCGTATTAAATATTCTGGCAAAAAAGAAATATATATATATATGGTGCTTAATATATCCAGGTTGCATCTAGAATGGGCCGTAGAAGTCGGCGTCTGCACGTAGCCATCTAAACTTTTCGTCAAAGGTGTATTTCACAGGTCGGTTTCGACAAGCAAAACTACAAAGCCTAGCACCCTTTCTGTAAAGAAATAGGTCCAAAAACTAGCCAGGGTGAACAGCGGACGGCGACTCACACGACCGAGTCGTTTGGCGCACGTATTGATAGATGGCGTCGGGAGCAGCGCCGGAAGGTGTAGCCGACCACTGAATGAAGGCAGACGATACGCAGACGAAACCCGTCAACAGCAAGAGCGCCGTTGGCACCGTCGTTAGTGGAAGTTTCCTTTTTATTTTTTTATTTGAACTTTGCTATTATTGTCCGCGTTTACTCTTAAGCCGAATGTACCTTACAAAACAAAATATTATTGTCATTTTCATAGACAAACATCGTCGCGAGCAGTCTCGATTAAAGCCCCTCTATCCTGGGAAAAGTGGCGCCATTCATTGTTGTGGGAATGCTCGAGACACGTGCCGCACGCCACTTCTGGGAAGAATATGGCGTCTGAAATCTAACTTAATGCTGCTCTGTGCCGCCATGATCTTTCCAAGGGTTACACGTTGCACGTGCCTCGTGCATCGACGCACCTTACACTCCTTTTGAAACATGAAGGGACTTTAGTCTCGATCACCGTGGTTTCGATCAGAACCGTTTCTTGGGAGAGTTTGGCCACACATTGGTTTGAATAGGCGAGCATCTCGGGGCCAACCACGGGCCTCGAAACAGCCCCTAGCGGTGGTCATGAGCTCTAAATATGTGACACGACTCATTGAAGTCGTTTTAGCGTCGCTCGAGTAAGAAGGTAAAACTCGTCGTGACTGAAGATTTGGCGCATGTTAGAGTTTTGTCACGTCCATGTTCAACGGTAAAATAAACGAACGTGCGGTCCAAACCAGGGCCGACTTGCTAGAAACAGCGTCTCAGTTGAGACTGGGGGAAGGAAAGCACTGACAAAGACAGCTCACGAGCCGAGCGGGACCGTCTCAACCCGAGCCTAGGAAACCGCGTCTGAAGACGCTCGCGTGCCCCACCCTTCGCGCTGTTTTAATAGTAATAGTAATAGTAATAGTAAATTTATTTACGCTGTGTTAGTTCAAAAGAGCAGAAGGCAGGTTCTTCTAAGCCAACAAGGGCTTGTGGGACTGAACCTAAAGGTTATCGTGATTCACAGGAGAATTTCAGAAAGTAATAGAAAAACAAAATAATTAGTCAATCAATTAATCAATCAATCAATCAATCAATGTTTAATATACAGTGCCCAGGAACAACCCTGAGGTCTTGGTGCTGGTACACTGGT